TGGACATCTATAGGAGGATGTACCTTGGTGTATGCTTTTTGCTGATGATATCCTTCTCGTGGATGAAACGAGAGAAAAAGCCCAGGAAAAACTTGAATTATGGAGGTCTATATTGGAGTCTAAAGGCCTTCGTTTAAGTACAACTAATACTGAATACATGGAATGTAATTTTAGTAGTAATAGCTCTAGTGACAGAAGTGTGATTTTGGGTGATCAAATTATTAAAAGGTGTGAACGATTTAGATATCTTGGGTCCGTTGTTCAAAGTGATGGTGATATAGATGAGGATGTTAATAGTAGAATTCAAGTTGGTTGGTTGAAGTGGAGGAATGCTTTGGGCCTTTTGTGTGAAAAGTACCACTAAGACTGAAAAGAAAATTTTATAAGACGGTGGTGAGACCTGCAATGCTCTATGGCGCTGAATGTTGGGAATGTTGGCCTGTTGGCCTTTAAAAGAGAAGCATAATAATAAGTTAAGTGTTGCTGAGATGAGAATGATTGGTGGATGAGTGGCTTCCACACTTAGAGACAAAATACGGAATGAATATATTCGTGATAGGGTTGGCGTAGCTGCTGTGACAGACAAAATTAGAGAAAGTCGTCTTAGATGGTTTGGTCACATTAAACGTCGACCATCTGATGATCCGATTAGGAGAGTAGATGTTTTAGATTCAACTTGTGTTAAGAAAGGCAGAGGTAGACCTAGGAAGACTTGGGCTTATTGTATTAAAAATGATCTTAATTTACTGGAACTAAATGAAAATATGACACTAAATAGGATGCAATGGAGAAAAAAGATTCATGTAGCCGACCTCACGTAGTGGGATTAAAGGCTTTGTTGTTGTTGTTGTATGTTTCATTTTATCTTATAAAAATGTTGATTTTTAAAACATATATATTAAAGTTGTATATTATATATTTTTTTATTTTTACTAATTCTAAGTTTTCTATTTTTTGAACAATTCTTTTTTTTAATCTTTCTATCATTTCTCGGATATCTTGTTGATTAAAACTATTTCTTATGTAAAAAACATTAATCAAAGTGTCTCATTTTGTTTGTCCTTCGTAACTTTATAACCAATTCGAAGAAATGTAGACTCTGGAAACTCTTGGATCACTTCACCACTACTACTAATATTAGTCAGCACTCCATAATGTCAATATTTTGAGCAAATAGGCTCAATACCTTTTCCTTTGCTTTCATTCCAATAAATAATAGTCTGTACAATATATTTTAGGTGCATAATATTTTGTATAATCTATTTTATGTAACTTAATTAATATATATTCTTAATCTAAATATTTAGCTAAGAGGAAATAATTTGTGCAAATATAATATTTTTCTTTTTTGCAGCATTGCGAAGAAGAAAACTTTTTATTCTGTCTGATTTCATTTATTTCTGATTGATATCCTCTTTCAAATTCATGCTAGCTGATCAGAAAATATTAATTTGCTAATAAGAAACTGATGACGCTGTCGAGAAAGAACCTCAGTAAATATATCAACCTTTTGAATATTAGAAGTGATATGAGATTGAGATATAACACCATCCTCATAGGCTTCTCGAATGGAATGCCAGTCTACTTCAATGTGTTTTGTGCGCTCATGAAAGAAGAGATTAACAACAATCTGGATAGCGCTAGTATTATCTACATGAAGAGAAATAAATTCAAGCTGAGGAAAACCAAGCTCAGCCAGCACGTCCTGAAGCCAAATGATCTCGGAACAAACAGATGATGTAGCCGATATTCTGATTCAAAGACGACTTAGATACTCGATCTTGTTTCTTGCTCTTCCAAGAGATTAAAAAGTTGTCGAGAAACATGCACCATCCAGTAATAGATCGACGTGTATCAGAACAACCAACCCAATCGGCATCACTATAGGCTGTCAAGGTGATAGGAGATTCCACAGAAAAGAACAAACCACGATGAGAAGTACCTTTCAACTATCGAACAATACATCGAACTGTGCTAAATGGAGATATGTAGGTGCTTGCATAAATTGACTAACTTGTTGCACAACAAATGAAATACCAGGACGCATAATAATCAGATAATTAAAGCTGCAAACCAGTTGTCGATATAGAGATGGTTTAGATAGAAAGTCACCAGATAGAGAGATGGTTTAGATAGAAAGTCACCATCATTCTGTTGATATTTGACATTTACTTCCAAAGGAGTATCAGTGGAACGACCATCTTGAAGACCAACCAAAGCAATGAGTCCCTTCGTATAGTTATGTCGATGAAGAAAAATACCAGCGACATAAGAGTAAACCTCGAGTCCTAAGAAATAAGTTAATGACCGCAGCTCCTACTGAGGCAGAAGATCTTGGTCAATGGGAAGCAAATGATGCTCAGATTGTTTCTTGGATTTTGGGATCTATTGAAGCTCATATGATGAACAATTTTCGATCCTTTGGCATAGCTAAAGAAATTTGGGAATACTTTACAATCAAGATAATTCTGCGAAACACTTCCAATTGGAACTGGACATGAATAATTATAATCAGGGTAATCTTTCAATTGAACAATATTATTCTGTCTTTCTAAATTTATGAAGCGAATATACTGGTATTATCTATGCTAAGGTGCTGAAGGAGAACTTAGCTAGTCTTCAAGCTATTCATGAAGAAAGTAGTCGTGATCAATTTTTAATGAAACTAAGATATGAATTTGAAATTGCTTGAGCTGGGTTGCTGAACAAAGATCCGGTTACTGCGCGAAGAATAGAGATTGACGACACAAGCTACTATCAGTACAACAGGTGGATCATCTTAAATAATAAATATGACATGTGCTGCCAAGACCAAAGGGAAGGGACCAGTGCAATGCTACGCTGTAAGAAATTTGGTCATATTGCACGGAATTGTGAAAATAAGATACATACTTATTGCAAACAAATGGTCATACTCTTATGGAGTGCTCTACACGACCCCAAAACCGCAAACCACAAGGACTTCATGCCATGGTATCCGACACCCACAATCCTGCATTGACATCCACATTTTCCACAGTTGCTGACAATAATCAAAAAACTGTCACACCAGATATGGTTCAACAGATGCTTCTCTCTGCCTTTTCTGCTCTCGTCCTTCAAGGGAAACGTAAAACTATTACTTCCGTTCTTTCTCCTTGATTTGTTGATTCAGGCGCCACAAATCATATAACTGACATAGCTGATTTATTGCATAACCAACAATCATACATTGATACTAAACATGTTCAGGTTGCTAATAAAAATAATATTCGAATTACGACAGTTGGTGATATTAACTTCTTCTTTAGACATGTTGCGGAAAAAGTGTTGAAACAGTCAAAGATCGGCTTGTAGCAGTCGAAGATCGAAGAGATTGCAGTCGTGATCGCGATAGTCGCGATTGATGAGAAGATCGCGACAGAACTCAAACAAAGCGAACAATTGAAGGGAGCGGATGCACCAGAGGTCCGATCGAAGGGAGCAGATGATCGGTCCGATCAAAGTCGAAGATCGACTTGAAGCAGTCGCGATCGCGGCTGTCGCGATCAATGAGAAGATCGCTACAGAACTCAAACAAAGCAGACAAGATGCCGCCGAACTCAAAGACAAGAACGAGCGCTCCGACGAGGAAGCGAATAACAAAAGCTAAAATTCTAAGGATTCACACCGATTAAAGCTTTGATACCATGTCAATATTTTGAGCAAATAGACTCAATGCCAATGCCTTTTCCTTTGCTTTCACTTCCTTTGCTTTCACTCCAATAAATAATAGTCTGTACAATCTATTTTAGGTACATAATATTTTGTATAATCTATTTTAAATAACTTTAATACATATTCCTAATCTAAATATTTAGCTAAGAGGAAATAATCTGTGCAAATATAATATTTCCTTCTTTGCAACATTGCGAAGAAGAAATTGCGAAGAAGAAAACTGCGAAGAAGAAAACTCTTTATTCTGTCTGATTTTATTTATTCCTGATTGATACATAATATATATTTTTAATAATATCATCATATCTTGGATTTACACCTCATACTGCTTAAAGGAATTGTTGCGGTTTGATGCTAAATTTGAGGGAAAATAAAAATAAGTTTAAAAACTCAAACTAGCGGTTGTAGACTCATAAGCAACCCATAAATTATTGATGTTTCATTTCATTTACTTCACTTTGCTTCGCTCTAAACAAGCCCTGTTAGGTTTTATAACTTAATTCCATCTTATCTTATAGGATTAGACTCAAACTGTGTTTTTTTGGTATTGCTCAATTTATAATTTTCCAACTGGTAAGATGTATTTACACATGTATATAGGTTGGCTAAATCTTTTGGGTCAAATTAAAATGTTCGGTTTCAACTTCTCTTTCCGTAGAATTAACATTTGACTGAATTTTTTCTCTCCACATGGCATAAAACTAACGTACAAATGTCAGAAATTTATCCTTTAGCATAAGTTAGATTGCTGATGAGACTTACGTATCTACATTTTCTGGTGTTCTGATCTTATTTACTCATTCCCCTTTTGATTCAAAGCCTCTGATTGACCTTTGGGTTTCAGTGAAACTCGTTCTTCAGCATTAGAACAGAGCCTTCGGAAACTTGGTGTGGAAAAGCTCAGTAAAGAGGATGTACAGAAGATGCCATGGGAGGTTCTAGAGGCCAAAATTGGAAACTGGATCCACTATATGAGAATTGCTGTAAGTTTTAGCTTGAATATCAGGGTTATATTCTAATTTTTTTTTTATTTCATGTATTTAATTACACTCAAAACAGGTGAAACTCCTATTTGCTGCAGAAAGAAAAATCTGTGATCAAATTTTTGATGGTATCGATGCTCTTAAGGATCGCTGCTTTGCTGAAGTTACAGCAGACAGTGTGTTGATGCTTTTCAGTTTTGGGGATGCTATAGCTAAAAGCAAGAGGTCACCAGAGAAATTGTTTGTGCTTCTAGACATGTATGAAATAATGCGTGAGCTTCATTCTGAGGTTTGTTTGATTTGTTCACATACCTTGCACAAAAAGATTGAGTTATCTTTCTTTCAATTTGGATTCTGGCTCTCTATAGGTGTGGGTATGGCTGAGCGATAAACTTTTTCTGAGAGGGGCACAATTTGACTATTTAAAAAAGTCTCAATTTTTTATTTCAAATTAATAGTTTGAATTATGTATGCATTTTTTTTATTATTTTTATTATATATTATAAAAATAAAATTAATTGTAAATTTTAAGAAAAATAAAATTTTTTAAACTTGTTATTATGATTTGAAGAAAGACAAATACATAAATATAAATAATAAATAAAAATGTTTATTTAGATCGTTATATGTATGTTTGTATATATATATATATATATATATATTAATGAAAAGAGCTATTCATAGCTCATTACGTGTTTATATCAAAGACGGTTACAAATATTGGAGGAAAAGAGGATCCCCGCTAAAAATAAAGAAAATACATATCGTCATAGAAGTTTCTCTTTCCGCATTACAACTCCACTCAAAAAAGAAATAAAAATGAAACAAAGGTAAATATAAACCAAAATTACATGTATCTAAACAAAACGTATACCCAACAAATGAAGTATACTCCATATGAACATGTATAAAAATTGAAACAAAGGTAGCGAAGGTAGCAAAGCCAAAATCAGACGTCTTAAAAGTCAGAAATAGCATGAACAAGCATATCCCAAAAATCCAAGACCTGTAGCTCGAAAACTGTGAAAACACCAAACAAGCAAAAGAATAGAAATGAGCAATGTAGAAAGGTAAGGCTCTACGTTCTTCCAACCCTCCATCTTGAAAAGCAAAGAACAAATAAGGAGCCACGATCCTGTCCAGGAGAAAGTGAAAACCTCGTATAAATTTGGAGCTATGAGCCTCCATATCGAAGTGATTTACCCCAATCACAACAAAGTTGTAAAGCTGGAGCAAAAAGCTAAACCTCCAATACTCATTCTCAACAGTATTCCCAAAAAAATTACTGCAATAAGTCCCATATACCAGCTCTCCACATAAACTCCCCAAGCCAATACCCGAAGCAAGAACCATCTATGAAACCACCAAATTGTAGCAAAGTAAACCTGCTCAACCGTAACCAAAAAATGGAGCCATGGGCCTCCCAAATTATTCATCACATACTAGGTAATGGAGCCCTGGGCCTCCATGCAAGTATTATAAAATCATCTACCATATAATGCATGTATAGATACTGTCTGCTCCACCAATAGCAGACAACTAAGACACCCTGAGATAAGTTAAGAGGATTAAAAATAGCCCAAAAAATAGCCTGGGCCGAAACATACCACCCAGCCAAAGAAAATATGCTAAGAGGAACCATCCCTACGAATATAAGGAGCATCGATGTTGTCACCAATCAACAAATGTGCAAAGAGGGAGGGGGGGTAGATCCCACCCTACAAATATTAGTGGCACTACCTAAATTAGCAAGCTAATTAGCGGGTTGGTTACCCTCCCGATAATTGAAACTCCACATAACATTCATATTGGAGATTAAACCTTTGATTCTCTTAATGTAATAAAGGATCTCCTAAGGGGCCTCGACGCCATTAACCAAAATATCAACCAAGATGCGATAATCACATTCAAAAATAATAAAATGGCAGCTGAGAAAATGAGCCATAATAGCAGCTGTTAAAATGGCCCAAGCCCCAGCCTCTATTGGAGTATCAACATATGAAGGAGATGAAAAGAAAAGTATACAGTTTCCTGCATAGTTTCTAGCAATGCCACCACAAGCAGTACAATTGGCTTTCCAATTTTCATCCGTGTTAAACTTAATCCACCCCCTAGGAGGTGGCCGCCATCTAACCAAAATCGGTGGATGAGGAAGCCTCCTCTCATCCATATTTGTATGTAGGGCTGTCAATTTGGCTCGTTATTCGTGAACAACTCGTGTTCAGCTCGTTCGTTAAGCAGCTCGTGTTTAGCTCATTCGTTAAGCCTAACGAGCCGAACATGAACAAATTTTTAAGCTCGAATGTAAACGAGTCGAATTTATATAATAATATATTATATATATTTATGTCTAAGTTTAAATCATAACACCTCATGTGACAATGTGGTTAGCGTCTTCTTTTGTATATATTTGATTCAGGTTCGAATCCCACACTTTACATATATTTTTCTCAATTTTAGTTTAACGAGCCAATTTCGAGCAGAACACGAGCCGAACACGAACACGAATATTTAAATCGAGTCGAACACGAACACACTGTTCACGAGCCGATTTCGAACACGAGTCGATTTCGAACACGAGCTATTTTGAACGAGCCGAACACGAGCCAAGCCTGAGCTCGCTCAAGCTCGGCTTATTTACAGCCCTATCTGGATTCCCCATAGACAAAATTATTGATGCCCGAAAAGAAACTTTTTTTAAAACTCTCCATTTTCCATAACTTGTTAATGTATGCAATAATATTAGTAAAGACCATCATATTCTGAATGACATTTCCTTCCCTTACCTTCATGAATAATGCATTTCCTTCATGAATAATGTCATTACGAGCCATCCAGATAAACCAACGTATGATGTAAGGGTAAATTTGCAAGAAATGTTTCTGCTTACTGTCCGGATTACAAATCATAGTAGTGAGCAAAAGATTCCTCTCAAGAGTGACGATAGTGCCAAACCACAAGCCAACCTTCCTCCATATAAATAGTGAAAAGGGATAAGAGGACAAGAGAAGAAAATATGCAATATGCTCTATAGTCTCCTCTGCCGAATTACACAAACAACAACGAGAGGTGATTTTCAAACCTTTCAACTTTAATATATCATCACAAGGTATTATAGAATGGAAAATGCGCAATGCCAAGAAAGACATAAATTGTTATATGTATATATAAAATTAATATTAAATTAAAATATATAATTATTAAATATATAATTAAATATATTTTAGTTACTTAAATACTATTTAAATAATATGACATATAAGCAACTCCGCTAAATAAAAAAAATTGTTTTAACTCCAATAATTTATGTGCAAACGATTATCTTAATCGAGAGAAAGATATGTCCAAAAGTGTGATGTGTATTTAAATAATTAAATACCTAACGCAATTCCTTTTGTCCACCAATATTCTGTTTCTATGAATATATTATTCTTAGCCATTAATATATATATATATATATATATATATACATGCATACATACCTACATATAGATAAATATGTATGTATGTATCTCTCTCTCTCTCTCTCTCTCTCTATATATATATATATCTGTGTGTGCGCTCGCGCGTGCGTGTGCGTGCGCGTGCGCGTGCATATATGTATTATCTTTGTAGAATAATGCAGATCTTTGTAGACTAAAATATATATTCCACTTTTTGATAAGGTTTTAAGAAAACTAGCTTCAAAATCATGCATCAGTTTTGATAGTTTCAACGATTTTATCTGTTTCAAAATTTAGTTTTCATATCATTTTGATTTTGGATATTTAAATATGATGTTTTTTTCAATGTAATTAGGATTTAAAATCAATGATTGAATTCATAAAGAATTTTGACGATTCATTGAATATTTTTTTAATGTTTAATCTAAAATCAATAATTTTGAAATGAATGCGAATGTTAACCTAAACATTATCTAAGATTTTGTCAGAATATTTATAAATTTTGGACTGCAAGATATACTTGTGATCCGCAACATTTAATGATATGCTTTATTCAAGACGAGCCTCGAATCTGGAACCTCAGGGGGCTTACTCACTTTGCTAACCAATGAGCCAGCTGACGCGCACAAATATATACCTTTTGGCGGGTCCATGCGCCTTCAGGCCCCTTCTTGAATCCGCTAGTGGGTGTAGGAGTTTGATGTTGTAGGTGTTTTAGTTGCAATGTACTTACGTCACTTGCATATGTGAGCTTAATATTTGAGAATCCTTATAACCTTTTTTTTTTGGATAATTGCTATCCTGATGCTTAGATAGAGCTATTACTTTTTTTTTTTAAATCTATTGTTATTTCTAGTGTTGATCATTACTACATCAATTTGCAGTGAATAATAATTTCAATGCATTTAGTCTTATTTATAAAAAAAATATATACTAGATTGAAACAATATTTGAAGGAAAAGCTTGTTCTGAGATGCGGGATGCTGCTCATAGTCTTTCAAGGCGCTTAGCCCAAACTGCTCAAGAAACGTTTGGTGATTTTGAGGAAGCAGTGGAAAAAGATGCAACAAAAACTGCTGTGCTGGATGGAACTGTGCACCCGCTGACTAGCTATGTGATTAACTACGTGAAGTTCTTATTTGAGTATGTTCTGCGCTCTTTTCCACTTTTGACTAGCAAATCTTATTAGCTGTTGTGAGCTACGCTTCCTTCTAATTTCCATGCTTTAGATCCGGACAACATCAGTCGCTTCATTGTATTAGGTGTTTTATTTGGCTTTGCTGTATTTTTTTCTCAGCCAAGTTCTAAGAAAAATTCTTTGGAGAGTAAAGAAAGGTGTTGATATGCCTTATATTCAAGTAATTAAAGATCTGTATGCTAGAGTTGTTACTTCTGTTCGAATAGATGGAGGATTGACCAAGTATTTTTCTATGTCAATTGGATTACATCAAGGATCGACTTTAAGCCGAGTCATTCTTTGATAAATGATCACTATGAGTCAGACTCAATAGAATTTGATCAATCCTTTTTTCTGTCGTTAAGGTGGAAAACTGAACCAAGAATTCTCTTTCTTCATCAGCAATCGAATCACTGTTCGCGACCTAGAATTCTATTCATCATCAATCCAATCACCGTTCACGTTTTTTCTTTTTCTTATCAATAAATAGATCTTTTTACTCGTTCGACTTAGATGTCTCGTATTTCTCAAAAAAACGATTCGATTGATGAGATTTGGTATGATACTTACAAGATCGATGAGGTTAAGATCGATGAGATTGATCTTCCAATATTTCTTCTAAGAACGTATTGATTTGACCCCATAAGCGGGACCACCACCCAATAGCATGTTGCCACCAGAAGCAGAACCCTGTATTTCTTCCAGAGAATCTCCTAATTGTTCCAGAACAACTAAAAAGCTTTGATTGTATCACTTAAGTTATAGAGAAATTCCTGAATCTAAGAATTTAAAATGAATAGTTCTTTATTACCCAGAAAAAAATAACCACTTAGAATAGCGAAACAAATTAGATTTGTAGAGAAATACAAAATGATATGGAAATGAGATTCATTTTGTCTTTGGACCAATTGTATTGTTTCCTTGTCCATTCCTATACGAAGCCTTTGCATATGTGTTTCTGAGTACTAAAACCAAATACATGGAATGTTATTTTAGTAGTAGTATATATAGTGACAGAGTTGTAACAGTGGGTGATCAAAGCATTAAAAGGAGTGAACGGTTTAAATATCTCGGGTCTATTGTTCATACTGATGGTGATATAGATGTGGATGTTATTAGTAGAATCCAACTTGGATGGTTGAAGTGGGGGAACGAATCGGCCTATTGTGTGATAGAAAAATAATGCTTAGACTAAAGAGAAATTTTATAATATGGTGGTAAGAACTGCAATGCCTTGTGCCGCTGATTGTTGGCCTATAAAAGAGAGCATAAAACTAAGTTAAGTGTTGCTCAGATGAGAATGCTTAGGTGGATGAGTGGCTTTACATATTGAGACAAAATGCATAATGAATATATCCGTGTAAGGGTTGGGGTAGCTCTAGTGGCAGACAAGATTTGAGAGAGTCAACTTAGATGATTTGGTCACATTAAACACCGATCATCTGATGATTCAGTTAGGAGAGTAGATGTTTTAGATTCGACTTATGTTAAGAATTCGACTTATGTTAAGAAAGG